AGTTTACACGTTTGCTGTTCTTCATCTTTAAGCAGGGTAGTGACAAACAAAACACAACTAAATTAATACATGAATTCATCAAATAGACTAGATGCACTTACGCAGGGTCCCCTATAGTGTTCTATTTCAAGAGTAGATAAAACCAAAATTAAGAGTAACAATTTTTTTTATTTCTTGCTTTTGAAGTTCATATGCCATGCTGTGTTGTGGCCTACAAAGTGCATCATTCTTCTTCTCGTGATTCATGGCATGCACACGTTCTACTGACGTCACGACAGTAAAACTACAACTTCAGAGATTCCTATAGTTCAGGCACGGCCGTCTCTAATTTCCCCGAAAGAGGGCTGAAGGCCGCCTGGAGGGGTCACCTATTTTAACCACTCGCACCACTATACAGTAGTATGTTGCAATTTGCACTGTCAGTAAAACGTACATATGCCATAAATCACGAGAAGAATTATAGACTCTGTAGCCTACAACACAGCATAACATATTCAATGACGAGGAACCCACTTTGAGACTAATCATGCTTGGAGACGGCTTGAATGGGTAATGAAGAAAAACTGTAATATAAGTTTAACATAACGGCAAATGCACAACATTTCGACAAGGTTTTGTCATCATCACGTATGGCATATGAACTTCGAAAGTAAGAAATCGAAATATTCGTTACTCTTTATTTGGTGTAATTTGCTCTTAAAACAGAACACTTTCAGGGCCCTTGCTGTGTGATAATAACAACACAATGCCTGCACTGTATGATAATAACAGACTCGCACTGTGTGATAATAATATCAACAGCACAACACCTGCACTGTGTGAGCAATAATAACAACAACACTTGCACTGTGTGAGCAATAATAACAACAACACTTGCACTGTGTGAGCAATAATAACAACACAACACTTGCACTGTGTGAGCAATAATAACAACACAACACTTGCACTGTGTGAGCAATAACAACAACAACACAACATTTGCACTGTGTGACAACAATAACAACACAACATTTGCACTGTGTGACAACAATAACAACACAACGACTGTACTGTGCGATAACAACAACACAATGACTGTACTGTGTTATAACAACAACACAACGAGTGTACCAACAAAGTACCGAGAAGTGTATCACAACATTGAAAATTGTATTAAATCAAAAATAGCTTTTATAACCGTTAAGTAACTTTATAGTGTATTAATTTGTGGTGAAAAATATTTATATATTTAGAAGGAAGTGGGTGTAACAGTGCAGGCAACAAGTCTATTGATTTTGAGCGAAGAGTTTAATGTCTCGAGCATCTACTTGTTAACCTTTCCGTACTTTAACACGGTCACAGAACTCTTCTGACCTTGTTCTAATATAATGCGGTCACAACTGCATCAACTGCTTAGGTAAAGATAACATAAACATGTAGAATGCAGTTTAAAATACTAACTCGTCTCTTTATTCCTGACAAGTTGTGGAAAATTTACCAATATAGATGTCGCTTCCGAACTAAAGATTAAAATATATTAAACCAGAATTCTAATTAAATATAAATAAATGAATAAATCCTCTAACGGAAAACATATTTTTTTGTTGTAATTATGTCCTTTAAATTTTTGGGGGCAAATTTCATTACATATATTTGTACAGTTATATATAGTGAATGTATGAAGCATAAAAGTCAAATGTGTTTTTGAACTCTTATGTCCCCAGGTGGGACAGCGGTAAGTCTTCGGATTTGCAATGCTAAAATCAGGGATTCGATTCCCCTCGGTGGACACAGCAGATAGTCCGATGTGGCTTTGCTATAAGAAAACATACACACACTTGAACTCTTATTTTGGTAGACCTCATTATATTCGTTTACATTTATACAGAGTTTGAGCACGTTATATTAAAACAATTTTGGAGTCTCGCCACGTCTTTCGTGTTTTGAACCCTGATGAGGGAGATTGCAAGAAGTCTTCCCCAGACCCCCCCCCCCCTTTGCTGTCTAACATACTCAAAATACGGTTGTACTCATTGATCACACATGTTGATAACACAATAACTTAACTTAAAACTAATATATTAAAAGTTACGAATGTACTTCCTGGGTTGTCTTGAAACATGAAAGTATTAAGACTTCAGCAACCATCATTTGAGAAATGACAGGTTCATAGCAGTATTAAGACTTCAGCAACTATAATGTGAAGATTTATAGGTTCAATATATATATACATACACACACACACACACGTTCCAAACGAATACAACAACTGTTATTCATATTTGTACTGGTCAAAAAATTCAAGTGCCTCTTATAAGTTTTATTTAAGCTGATAACTAGAGAACCTGTTAGAAATACCATGAAAGTTGTTCTCTCCTACGTACACACACAGAAAACTATTAAAGTTGAAACATTAACTAGTTACCTTGTAATTGTATGATAGAAAAACTTGTTGGTCAGATTACAGCAGAGTGACATGACATATTCAAGGAGGGTTATAATCAGATCCACCTACACTATGTAAATAATTACGTAGTGTCATACTTGGAATTTTACACTCTAACATACAATACTCTCTATTTTACGGTTTTAAAAACATACAAATAAAAGTAAGTTGCAAACGAATTACACTCAATAAAAAACTTGCTTTCACCGCAATATAGAACAATACACACTCGACCGTAGCATCTAGCTCACTGGTGTCGTACAAGTTTCTGTTAAACGTTGCGTCAAGCGCAGCTGTATCTTATTCTTACAACGCAGAACTTTTTGTTTCTTATCGAAATGTGCTTTAAAATTATTGTGATTCTGTTTTGTAGCTGAATATTATAGTTTTCAAAAATGTTAAACTAATACATATAAAGATGTGTTATACTTATATTACCTACACAAAAAATATACAAAGTTATTTCTATAAACACAACTAATCGTGTAATTTCTTCTTGATAAGATGATCTATATACAAATACCATCAGTGACCAATTTCTAACTTCTCTTAACAATGAATCATTATTATTATTTATTTACAAATTATTTTATACTTTATTTAATGTTGTATGCCATTTCTCCCCCTTTTTTACTTTGTAACAAGGTGTGTCATTTTTTAAAAATCCATTAAGCATGCCAATCTGTGCTTTTTGTGGGTATTCTTTTTATTAGTGTGCATAACCCTTAGAGGACTTTCGTTCCGAGTTATTTCTATTCGATATCTTTGGTGTGTACATCTAGAATGTATGTAGCCCTTAGAGGAGATGTCTTTCGAGTTATTTACTACTCGATAATTTTGATGTGTACATCTAGAATGTGCGTAACCCTTAGAGCACTTTTGTTCCGAGTTATTTACTACTAGATAGTTTTGATATGTACATCTAGTAATGTAACCCTGAGAGGAGTTATTTTTCTGAGTTATTTACTATTCAATCAATAGCTTTCGTATGTACATCTTATGAAAAATGTGTTTTATACCTTTATTAAATTTCATTATTCTCAGATTGTTTTAAAAATGTTAAACATATAAGCATTAGAAACTAATCGTATCGAATGTAGTATTTTGTTACCACAATAAAAACACATATGTTATTTTGCACATAAAAATACCCTAAAAAGTGTATTATATAAACATATAGCCCTTTAGGTTAAGAATATAGCTTGAAAGCGTAAATAAGAGATCTAATAAATGTGAATGTGAGGATAACTATATATTTTTTTGCATTCTTTGATCAACCAGGACCAAACATGGTGAAAAGTTTCAGTACGTGAATGTGAGGATAACGATATTTTTTGCATTGTTTGGTGAACCAGGACCAAACATTGTGAATAGTTTCTGTACGTGAATGTGGGAGAAACTTTTATTTTGCATTCTTTGATCAACCAGGACCAAACATGGTGAAAAGTTTCAGTACGTGAATGTGAGGATAACGATATTTTTTGCATTGTTTGGTGAACCAGGACCAAACATGGTGAAAAGTTTCAGTACGTGAATGTGAGGATAACGATATGTTTTGCATTGTTTGGTGAACCAGGACCAAACATGGTGAAAAGTTTCTGTACGTGAATGTGGGAGAAACTTCTCTTTTGCATTCTTTGGTCAACCAGGATCAAACATGGTGAAAAGTTTGGAGTATTCAGCTATGGTCCAATCTATTACTTTGTAAAGAAAATATTTAATTTTTGTAACGTAAGATAATGATCTTCATGTAGTGATAGAACATGTAACCGATTCCAATATATGGTGGTTTGAAGATGTATATACTAAATGTACTTGCGCAGAGGTCCCCAATAAATAAGTTTAAAAAATAAAAATCTTAAAGCTAGCTCTTATCATTCATATAGTTATCAAGATTTCTCTTAAACTCATTTAAATTTACTGCCTCTACAACATCCGAAGGCAATCCATTCCAAAGGCCAACCACGATGTTAGAAAAAACTATCTTAGCTGAAGATGACTCCTACCTTGCCAAAATTTATATTTGTGTCTACTAGTCCTACTATTATCGTCGTTAAATATGAAAAAATGATGATGTATCAACACACTCAATTCCCTTAACAATTTTAAACACATCAATCAGATACCCTCTAATTTTTCTTTTTTTAAGAGAAAACAATTTCAGAGATCTTAATCTCTCCTCATATAATAACCCCTCCATCTCGGGTACCATTTTAGTAACCATCCTCTGAATTATTTTCAACAATTCAATGTCCTTCCTAAGATAGAAAGACCAAGACTAAACACAATTATCCAAATGTGGCCTAAAATGAATGATTTTGAACGATATATACTATTAGTAATCAGCTAGCTAAAAATGCTTACCTTTAAATTTAAGCATTATTCTTGATGTGTTAAATATCTCTAAACGTAAGCATGATTTCTCATTGGTCGCAATTTTCTTTAATATCCAAATATAAAATATTATCTTTAAGAAACTATCATTAGACCTACACCAAATCCGCAGATTTAAGCTAAATGTTCTTATGGATATTTAAAAATATAACATCTAAAATTATAAAAATGTTTTATTTACCACTTTTTGACATCATCCAGTTGTAGAAGGTGATTGGATATTGAAAAGGATACGTTAAGTAACGAAGCATGGTTGAGCCTTACACCTGGATAGATTTCCACTTCGAAATTGTCTTCAGACTTGTCTTCTAAAAAGGTAAATATTAATATATATATATATATACACACACACTCAACAGAATGCCTTATGATAGTAGCGCAGATGAAACATTTAAGGCTTACTAAGAATACCTGGAGAACGTTTATATGTAGTACAATTTGAGAACAAAATAACAAACAGATTACAGAAAATCGTGGCCTGGAACAGATATATAATAAGAACAAGTTGGCTGGTCTGTCTCTTGCCCAGATTCATTAAAAATAACAATACATTTTTGGGATATTTTATGGATTTCTTTATTTAGATAAGAATGGTGTTGCTGATTGAAAATTCTGGAAATACTAACCTGTCAAGTTACCTAAATATAGCAAGATACGAATTCCTGTCTTACAATATTCGATGTAGTAGTAGTGCATTAATACCAGTAATAGGAAAATTATAATAACTCATTCTGTGCTTGTATTATTAAAAGTTTAAGAAACGTAGTTTAAGTAGTAAATACAACCAATGTATGCATGACCTTTTTAAAAAAAAATCCGCCAGTGTTAGACCCCCCCACCCACACACACACAAAAATAAACATTTGTAGCTTACCTGGTTATAGTATCCTAGCTGGATAATATTGTTTCACTCGGTAAAACCAAAAGAATTAGTAATCAACAGTGACACATACACTCGTCGGTTAGTTTGAATTTTGTTGGTTGCATCATAAATAAGTCACACAACGTTAACTCTGACACAGTTAATGCGATAGAGAACTACTGCCCCAGCGGTAAGCGTCTAAAGTGGGTCATATAAAAGTAAAGATCTACAGTAATGACGGATCAAAGGTAACAGAACCGGCTAGCCCGATCAGTACTTCTAGTCTATTTCTCACACGTGAAACTGGCTTATTTCAAACTGTCACGGGCAGAAAACTACGCAGCTCCAAACTAGTAAGCTTCTTCTCAATATAGGTCATCCACTTTCTGATAGGTGGTGGTCAACTAAGCAAAAACATCCTCCACCAGTTCCCACAGACTTACCTTTTGAAAGCACGGCTCCGATTGGAGGTTAAAACGAATTGAAATGAGCTTTCATAATTCGCCCCTCCTTCAAATTTCGCAATATTGTTTGTTTCTCTTTTACAGTTTTGACCAGGTGTGTGTATATCAAAGCTACTAAACGCGTTCTAGTAGAAAAGTAGCTCTGATGACGGATAATATGCAGTATTAAGAAGAATGTTTTGCAAACCGACAAAGCTAAAAGAAGTATCATTTTGTCTCATTCTAACACAATAACATCAGGTATTGATTCAGAATATGGGCTTACTTTAAAAAATAATACATATATATAAATAAAATCACTTAATGCTTTGTTAATTATTACTTTTTACTTTACGGATATGATTAAAAGACACGCTGCTATTTGATTTAACTGATTTTTCTGGGATAATACGAAAATTGTGCAGGCCGGTAAAAGTATATGCACTATGAAAGGGTGCCAATTTTTTTGGTAGGGGTGTTTATTTAAAAAAAAGGGTAATCAAAATCAGTTAACTCGTATTCACTACTATTATTCTTCACTGTGATCACAATAAACAAGTAAAGAAATATATAAAACCCTTTGCCGGCACAATATTATTAACTATGCACACAGCGTAAATTACTACATAATAGTTCTTTAAATTGTTAGTAACGCATTAGCAACCTTTTCAAAGTTACTTAAAATAAATACAATCAAGCGTTGAGCAGGCCCTCTACAGAATGCAATAAGCAAGTACCGTTGCACAATAAATTATTGTAAAGTAACGAATGTACGTATAATACTTACTTTCAACTGACAAGACAATTTTCCACATATAAATGCATGTATCTATATAATATAAATAATCTGACGTGCATATTTTCTCTCTATTAGTTACAAAATTAGCTGTAAATTACCAGTTGCATTTACCTTCATGAAGAAATTGATAAACGATATGTAGAGCAAATGATACTAAACAGAAAGGTAATATCCTAAACTTGTAACTATTACCAACAAAAGAGTTGTTACGTCTCTGATCGTTTGTTAATTTCCCGTAAAAATTCTTCCCGAGGAACTTCAGCGATACAAGTCCTTTCTTAAATAAAACTAGTTTATTCTTCCTCAATACAACTTTGCAACACACAGAATTTCTACAGTCACTTTAACTTAAACACACGCTATAATTCACAAAGATTTACACACTTAACTTACGGCTTGGCTCGATTATCCCCCGTTATCAATTTATCTGCCGGCTTATATACTAAAAATAGAGCGCATCTAGCAAACGTGAGGTTCCCGGATCCTTCTAGAATCTCACCACGTGTTACCAGCGTACCGTGACTTCCGCTATCGTAACAGAGTAATATAGTAGTACCGTAGTTCAGGGCTACAATATGGCTCGGTCCTCAAATTGGGCAGATTAGAAAGCGTAACTAAGAGGACCCTACAAAGGGGTTTGCTAATAGGAGATATTACCAGTATCAAGTTGTAAATACATTCAACCCTAGATATTGTACGGAAATAACGTTACTGTCACGTACTTGATCATGAAGTCCGTGTGTTTTCTACATTGCGCTATATTTCTCATGTCAGTGTACTATGTGACAAATTTAATATCGTGTCAGTTTACTAATTGGCAAATTTAACATCGTGTCAGTGTATTATGTAACAAACAAATTTAATCTTATGTCAGTGTACTATATAACAAACAAATTTAATCTTATGTCAGTGTACTATGTAACAAACAAATTTAATTCTTTATTACGCTTTCATCTTTAAGTCTGTTTGTTTGTTTGTAATTAAGCACAAAGCTACATAATGGGCTATCTGTGCTCTGCCCACCAAGGGTATCGAAACCAGGATTCTAGCATTGTAAGTCCACAGACATACCGCTGTGCCACTGGGGGGCCATCTTTAAGTCATTCCGAAGGTAGGGTGGAAATAGTGTGTCATAACTTTAGACAAAGGAAAGCAGGGGTATTTAATATTTGAAGACACTGTGTTATAGAATATGCAAACCTGGAAATTTGTGCTTTTACATATGAATCTAAATTCGCATTGTTTGGCCACTATCAACAACAGTTTGTTCGACGTGAGAGGAGAGTACAGTATTGTTGCATATCTGGTCGTTTGTTAATTTCCGATGTTACGACAGCGGAAGTCACGTGACACTAGTCATGAGATTTTAGAAAGATCATATCCGTTCGTGAAGCCTCGAGTGTTCTCCAGACGCCCTCTATTTTCGTATATATAAGACCGGCGAGAAGTGACGGCATATATATATGAATAATTGCAGATTGAAGAGGGAGAGATGGACAATTGAGTCAAGTGCGGTAGTAAAGTGCGTGAATCGTTCGTTGTGAATTATAGCGTGTGTTTAAGTTAAAGTGACTGTG